GTTGTTGTCTCTGTGCACCCACTCCTGTGCCTCACAAACTGGAAACATAACAGAAATAACAAAAAACAAAGCAGAAAGAAAAAAATATATGTGAATAAAGAATAAGAAAGAAAAGACCACCAGCAGTATTTTTTCAAAGCCAGAGAGGAAATTTCCTGTCATGGAACAAGCGAGAAATATTTAAACCTAGAGCAAATTCAGGTTGGGTCAAGAGGGAGGTCCACTGACCAGATATCATATTGTACGGTTCCATCCATATATGGTTCCATCCACCACAATCAAGTTTACAATCATCTCTGTCTGATGGCAAATCTGTTCCTCAACTATGGCCAAAGGGGATCTGCCAGAGGCTCAATCTGACTAGACCCAGGGGGTCCTCAAACTTTTAAAACAGGGGGCCAGTTCACTGTTCCTCAGACCACTTGGAGAGCCGGACTATAGTTTAAAAAAAAACTATGAACAAATTCCTATGCACACTGCACATACCTTATTTTGAAGTAAAAAAACAAATGGGGCAAAAACACCTGGTGGCCCGGATAAATGTCCTCTGTGGGCTGCATGTGGCCCGCGGGCCATAGTTTTAGGACGCCTGGCCTAGACACTCTGCAGATGACTTTGTAGCCTTCTACAAATTGGGTGTTTACAATGTAAGCCCTGATACTTTTCCCTTTGTCTTATTTGGATTTTGTTATTGTCATCTTTGGGTCACACAGGCTGGTGTGCTTCTTTCATGTGGACTTAGTTAGCAACTTACTTAGATGGCTCCTTGTTTGAATACAAGCCTTTAAGACCCCAGACACATGGAGGGAAGTGCTGTGGAGGGTGGGAGGCAGGGAGGCAGGGGGGCAGCAGGTGCACAATGGTGGTCTCGTAGCTGGCCCCTCCTGTTCCCTCGTGCAGGCCACACTACAGGTACCAAGCTCCTCATCTCATTTACAGGCACCACAAAGAACCCTACTCGGTCTTCCCAACATGAGGAAGACCATGCTTCAGAGGAAGACCATCTACCCCTCCAGCAACTCCAGTGACAGCCCAGACACAGCAGGAGGCAGCAGGGCAGAGCAGGGGCCAGAGTCTGAAATTACTGCCCATTTTTGGTGGAAACTAGTTTCTCATGACTGACTTTTTGGGAAACATTATTTGAGTAAAGTTACTGGACCCTGACTGGCGACTGGTTTATTAGTCTCAGTGTGTGCATGGTTGTGTCTGAGGAACAAGTCACTCCTACCGGTCACTCCAAGTCCTGAGTGTAGGGAGCTGATGAAGTGGGGG